GCCAGAACCTCTGGGACACATTTAAAGCAGTCTCTAGAGGAAAGTATATAGCAATAAGTGCCCATATGAGGAGAATGGAGAGATCCAAATTGACACCCTATCGTCAAAATTGAAAGAGCTAGAGGAGCAAGATCAAAAAAACTCAAAACCCAGCAGAAGATAAGAAATTACTAAGATCAGAGCTGAGCTGAAGGAGATTGAGACACGAAAAACCCTTCAAAAAATCAATAAATCCAAGAGCTGGTTTTTTGAAAAGATCAACAAAATAGACAGACCACTAGCCAGATTGATTAAAAATAAAAGAGAGAACAACCAAACAGATGCAATAAAAAATGATAAAGAGGAAATCACCACAGATTCCACAGAAATTCAAACCATCATCAGAGAATATTACAAACAACTATATGCGCATACACTAGTAAACCTGGAAGAAATGGATAAATTCCTGGACTTCCGGTGTCCTCCCAAGTCTAAACCAGGAGGAAGCTGAACTATGAATAGACCAATAACAAGGTCTGAAGTTGAGGCAGCAATTAAGAGCCTACCACACAAAAAAAGCCCAGGTCCAGACGGGTTCACAGCCGAATTCTACCAGACACACAAGGAGGAGCTGGTACCATTCCTTCTAAAACTATTTCAAACAATCCAAAAAGAGGGAATCCTTCCCAAATCATTTTATGAGACCAACATCATCCTGATACCAAAACCCGGCAGAGACCCAACGAGTAAAGAAAACTTCAGGCCAATATCCATGATGAACATAGATGCAAAAATCTTCAATAAAATATTGGCAAGCCGATTGCAACAGCAAATCAAAAACTTATTCATCATGATCAAGTAGGATTCATCCGGGGATGCAAGGCTGGTTCAACATACACAAGTCTATCAACGTAATTCACCACATAAACAGAACCAAAAACAAAAACCACATGATTATCTCAATTGACGCAGAGAAGGCATTTGACAAAATTCAACAGCCCTTTATGCTAAAACCCTCAATAAACTCGGTATCGATGGAACGTATCTCAAAGTAATAAAAGCTATTTATGACAAACCAACAGCCAATATCATACTGAATGGGCAAAAACTGGAAGCATTCCCTTTGAAATCTGGTACTAGACAAGGATGCCCTCTCTCACCACTCCTATTCAATATAGTACTGGAAGTTCTAGCCAGAGCAATCAGGCAAGAAAAAGAAATAAAGGGTATTCAAATAGGAAAGGTGGAAGCCAAATTGTCTCTATTTGCAGATGACATGATAGTATACCTAGAAGACCCCATCGCCTCAGCCCAAAAAACTCCTGAAACTGATAAACAACTTCAGCAAAGTCTCAGGATATAAAATCAATGTGCAAAATTACAAGCATTCGTCTACACCAATAACAGACTTAAAGAAAGCCAAATCAAGAGCGAACTGCCATTCGCAATTGCTACAAAAAGAATAAAATACCTTGGAATACAACTCACAAGGAATGTAAGGGACCTCTTCAAGGAGAACTACAAACCACTGCTCAACGAAATCAGAGAGGACACAAACAGATGGAGAAACATTCCATGTTCATGGTTAGGAAGAATTAATATCGTGAAAATGGCTATACTGCCCAAAGTAATTTACAGAATCAACGCTATCCCCATCAAGCTACCATTGACTTTCTTCACAGAACTGGAAAAAACCACCATGAACTTCATATGGAACCAAAAGAGAGCCCGCATAGCCAAGTCAATTCTAAGCAAAAAGAACACAGCGGGGGGCATCACACTACCGGATTTCAAACTATACTACAAGGCTACAGTAATCAAAACAGCATGGTACTGGTACCAAAACAGAGATATAGACCAATGGAACAAAACAGAGGCACCGGAGGCAACACAACATACATACAACTATACAATCTTTGATAAACCTGTCAAAAACAAGCAATGGGGCAAGGATTCCATGTTTAACAAATGGTGTTGGGAAAACTGGCTAGCCATGTGCAGAAAGCGGAAACTGGACCCCTTCCTGACACCTTACACTAAAATTAACTCCAGATGGATTAAAGACTTAAACATAAGACCTGGCACCATAAAAACCCTAGAAGGAAATCTAGGCAAAACTATCCAGGACATAGGAGTAGGCAAGGACTTCATGAACAAAACACCAAGAGCATTGGCAACAAAAGCCAAAATAGACAAATGGGACCTAATGAACCCACAGCTTCTGCACGGCAAAAGAAACAGTCACTAGAGTGGATCGGCAACCAACAGAATGGGAAAAAATTTTTGCAGTCTACCCATCTGACAAAGGGCTGATATCCAGAATTTACAAAGAACTCAAACAGATTTACAGGAAAAAAACAAACAAGCCCATTCAAAAGTGGGCAAAGGATATAAACAGATACTTTACGAAAGAAGACATATATGAGGCGAACAATCATATGAAAAAAATGCTCATCATCACTGGTCATCAGAGAGATGCAAATCAAAACCACATTGAGATACCATCTCACGCCAGTTAGAATGGCGATCATTAAAAAATCTGGAGACAACAGATGCTGGAGAGGATGTGGAGAAAAAAGGAACACTTTTACACTGTTGGTGGGAGTGTAAATTAGTTCAACCATTGTGGAAGACAGTGTGGCGATTCCTCAAGGCCTTAGAAATAGAAATTCCATTTGACCCAGCAATCCCATTACTGGGTATATATCCAAAAGACTATAAATCGTTCTACTATAAGGACTCATGTACACGAATGTTCATTGCAGCACTGTTTACAATAGCAAAGACCTGGAATCAACCCAAATGCCCATTGATAATAGACTGGATTGGAAAAATGTGGCACATATACACCATGGAATATTATGCAGCAATCAGAAATGATGAGTTCGTGTCGTTTGTAGGGACATGGATGAATCTGGAGAACATCATCCTCAGCAAACTGACACAAGAACAGAAAATGAAACACCGCATATTCTCACTCATAGGTGAGTTATGAAAAATGAGAACACATGGACACAGAAAGGGGAGTACTAAACACTGGGGTCTATTGGGGGGAAAAGGGGAGGGCCAGTGGGAGGGATAGCCTGGGGAGAAATGCCAAATGTGGGTGAAGGGGAGAAGAAAAGCAAAGCACACTGCCATGTGTGTACCTACGCAACTGTCTTGCATGCTCTGCTCATGTACCCCAAAACCTATAATCCAATAAAAAATTTAAAAAATAAATAAATAAATAAATAAATAAAGTCATCCTTCCAAGGCTCCCCTGAGTCAAATGCTTATCTGATAACCTCCTCTTCCCATTGCTTATGTAAAGTGCAGATACACTGAGCCAGCCTAAACTGTGTATTCAGTAGAAAGCTGATCAAGGACTCAGAAGAATGCAACCTTTTGTCTGTTATCTACTTCTAATCTGAAAGCGTCCACTTTGAGAGGTCCTGAATTACTGAACCGAAGCCATGTACCTTTATACATATTGATTGATGTCTCACATCTCCCTAAAATGTATAAAAGCAAACTGTGCCCTGACCATCTTTGGCACCCGTCGTCTGGGCCTCCTGAGGCTGCGTCACGGGCACACATTCTCAACCTTGGCAAAATAAACTTTCTAAGTTGACTGAGACCTGTCTCAGATACGTTGGGTTCACAATCGATTTTCAGTGTACTAATGATGACTGAAGAACTGTGAGGTTCATACATTTGGAAAGGAAAGCTTTATTTCTACAAATGCTTTGGCTCAAGGGTCCTCTTCTACAAGAGCCCTGCAGGTAACATTACTCTTGCAGAATCAAACAATGGTTTGAGAAACCTTATCAAATTTTCTGATGTAGCTTTCCCTCACAGTGGTGGTCTGAGTACAGCTTGGTTTTCAACGTTTTGGGGAGACATGAGGCATCTATCAACACATGTAAGATGTACATTGTTTCCATCCCAAAAGGTGAGATAACTCAAAGTTGGGGGGGGGCTTCCAGGTCAGGGATAGATAAGATACAAAAGTTGCATTCTTTTGGGTCTTTGATCAGCCTTTCACTGAATACACAATTTATATGTGAGGGCAGGGGAGTGAATTGAGGGATAGTCACTGATGCCTGAATGGTTCAGTGAATCTGCATCTCTGCATAAACAATAGGGCAGGGGAAGCTATCAGATATGCATTGTCTCAGGTGAGCAGAGGGCTGACCTTCACTTCTGTCTGTCCTTTGTCCCACGCCTGTGAAAATAAGCTGTCAAATTTTATTGCCAAGGTGAAATTGAACAGAATTGTTTGTTTGTGTGTTTTTGTCTTCGTGGCTGTCTTATTTAGGATAAAATGGGAGGCAGTTTCTCCTGGCAGTTCCCAACTGGACTTTTTCTCTTAGCCTGGGGATTTGGTTTCTTTTCACTAATTAACAAACTCAATCAATGAGTTGTCAAACAAAACAGGGAAGGGAAAAGTAAGTCAAAAGGCTCATACCAGAAGGGTGGAAATCTTTGGATAATTATTAAGAAATGACACAAATAAAAGGAAAGTTGATGGAGTTAAAACAAAGGTCTTCACAACATGATCAAAGGTTGGGTGGGCCAAAGAGAGCCCCGAGTGGTCCCCCAACATTAAGGTGCCCCATACCAGTTTTCTTCATTTGCCTTAGATTGGAGAAATTTAAGAAAAATTAAGGCTAGGCACTGTGCTCACACCTCTAATCCCGACACTTTGGGAGGCTGAGACACCTGAGGTCTCTGATCTGGGAGGCAGATCACCTGAGGTCAAGAGTTTGAGACCAGCCTGGCCAACATGGCGAACCCCATCTCTACTAAAAATACAAAAATTAGCTGGGTGTGGTGGCACACACCTGTAATTCCAGCTACTTGGGAGGCTGAGGCAGGAGAATCACTTGAACCCGGGAGGCAGAGGTTGCAGTGAGCTGAGATCGTGCTACTGCACTCCAGCCTGGGTGACAGAGCAAAACCCTGTCTCAAGAAAAAGAAAAATCAAAAGTCAAAGGTTTTAATGACAATATTGACATTGCCTCAGGTGAGTCAAGATAAATATTGGCAAAAGGGCAGGAGTCTCTTGGCTCAACCCTGTGCTGCAAAAACCCAAACCCTTTTTCACTGGAGAGGAGGTAGGGAAATAAAGTTCCTGGGACCAGATATTTAAGAATGTAAGGATTGGTAGGAGTAAAAAATTTGAGATGTTTAAACAGGCTTCGTGTTTGGTAGTTATGACTTTGTTTGTTTGTTTTTTGTTTTGTTTTGTTTTGTTTTTATAGGAATGGGAGAAGGGAGGAAGGTAGGAAGGGAGGAAGGGAGGAAGGGAGGAAGGGAGGAAAGGAGGAAGGGAGGGAGGGAGGGAGGGAGGAAGGGAGAAAGGGAGGGAGGGAGGGAGGGAGGGAGGGAGGGAGGGAGGGAGGGAGGGAGGGAGGGAGAGAAGGGAAGGAAGGAAATCGGGCAATGAGAGAGACATTGCCGACCTGGATCTAGAGGTCTACAGGTTGATTTTTTTTCTTCTTTTTTTTGAGAGAAGGAAAGAATAAAAGGAGTGAAGGAGAGGAAGAAAGAGGAAGAAAAAGAGGGAGAGAGAATGGAAATGTTGCTTTATTCTAAAAAAAATAGGTATTAATAATGGCCAATCAATATTTCATTTAAACCTATGAGTAGGTGTGATGTGGTATTGACAAGAATGTATATTTTGTGTATTTAAAGTGGAGAGCTCTATACATATTATTAAGTTTACTTGTTCCAGATCTGAGTTCGAGTCCTTGATATCCTTATTAATTTTCTGTCTCATTGAGTCTAAGTCTCTATGTATCTGGGTGTTAGGATCGTTAGCTCTTGTTGTTGCATTGATCCTTTTACCACCATATCTTTGTTGCTTTAAAATCTATTTTATCAGATACGAGAATTGCAACTCCTGCTTTTAATTTATTTATTTATTTATTTTTGCTCTCCATTTGGTTGGTAAATTTTTTCTCCATCCCTTTGTTTTGAGTCTTTGTGTATCCTTGCATGTGAAATGGGTCTGGATGTAACATGCCATTGGGTTTTGGCTGTATCTTTTGATTGGGGGATTTAGTCGACTTAAATTTAGGATTACTTCCATTTGTTGTTAACTGGCTGTTTTATCCATTCGTTGATGTAAATTCTTCTTTATGTTGATGCTCTTTACTTTTTGGTATATTTTTAGAAAGGCTAATACTGGTTGTTTCTTTCTATGTGTAATGCTTCTTTCAGAAGCTCTTGTAAAGCAGGCCTGGTGGTAATAAAATCTCTGAGTTCTTGCTTGTTTATAAAAGATTTTATTTTTTCTTCAGTTGTGAAGCTTAGTTTGGCTGGATATGAAATTCTGGGCTGAAAGTTCTGTTCTTTAAGGATGTTGAATATTGGCCCCCACTCTCTTCTGGCTTGCAGAGTTTCTGCTGAGAGATGTGCTGTAAGTCTAATAGGCTTCCCTTTGTGGGTAATCTGACCTTTCTCTCTGGCTGCCCTTAGTATTTTCTCCTTCATTTCAACCCTGGTGAATCTAATGATTATGTGCCTTGGGGTTGCTCTTCTTGAGGAATATCTTTGTGGGGTTCTCTGTATTACCTGGGGTTAAATATTGTCCTGTTTTGCTAGTTTAGAAAAATTTTTCTGAATAATATCCTGAAGGGTATTTTCCAGCTTGGATTCATTCTCTCCATTGCATTCAGGTACACCTATCAAACGTAAATTTAGTCTTTTCACATAGTCCCTCATTTCTTGGAGACTTTGCTCATTCCTTTTTATCCTTTTTTCTCTAATCTTATCTTCTCATTTATTTCATTAAGTTGGACTTCGACCTCTGATATCCTTTCTTCTGCTTGAACAATTTGAGTGTTTAAACCTGTGCATACTTCTCGGAGTTCCTGTATTGTATTCTTCAGTTCCATTAATTCACGTATATTCCTCTCTAAGTTGTCTATTCTCATTAGGATTTCATCAAACCTTTTTTCAAAGTTCTTAGTTTCTTTACATTGGGCTACAACATGTTCTTTTAACTCACAGAAGTTTCTTATTATCCATCTTCTGAAGCCTGATTCTGTTAATGGGATGCACTCATTCTCCACCAAGCCTTGTTCCCTTGTTGATGAGGAACTGCTATCCTCTTTAGAGGGAGAGGCATTCTGGTTTTTAGTATTCTCAGACTTTTTACAATGGTTTCTTCTCATCATTGTAAATTTATCCACCTGTCGTCTTTGTAATTACCAACTTTCAGATTAGGTCTCTGGGTGGATGTCCAAGTTGTTAATTCCCAGGGCCGAAATATGAGCAACTCACTGTGCCGGCCAAAACAGCGACGTTAAGACGGATGGTGCATTTCTGCCTGGGAATCTCCAGTCTTGCTTCCTTCTTGAGTCCGTAATAACCTCGGTCAGAAGGGGAACCAGTCCCGTTTACTCTGCACCAAGAGCTGTCATGCCGAGGTGCTGGCAAAACCTCTGCACCGGCCACAAGAGTCGTGCTGGCGACCCATGCGCCTCCTCCACTTGGAATCTTCTGTTCCATGAGTGACCAAAATTTGTCTGAAAGTGTGGCATCCTCTCGTTCTCTGCACTTTCACTGAGAGCTGCAATCCTATGATGTTAGTGATTGGCCATCTTGAATCGTTCCCTAGTTATGACTTCTTGACGTAAATGTCTTATGAAAATGGGTACTGTATCTGAGCAGGGAACACTCCCCCCAATACTATAAAACTGAGGGCACGTAAATCTGCCCTTTGGGGAAATGTTCATTGATCATGATCAATGGGAACTAGTAAGACTGCCTAGGATTACAGAACCTAGGGTAGAAGCTGGGGTGCCGGCAAGGAAAACTTCTCCACTTCACAGCCCTTCGTGGACTGTTATTTTGTTTGTTTTTTATAGAGATGAGGTTTCACCATGTTGGCCAGGCTAATCTCGAAATCCTGAGGTCAAGCAATTCACTCACTTCAGCCTCTCAAACTGCTGGGATTACGGAGGTGAGCCACCATGCCCAGCCATTTGTGGAATGTTTATTGGGTCCAATAGCAAAGCCTACAAGCCTGTCGAGTATCACAACCACTGGGAATTGGGACTAGAGAATTTCCACTTCAGGGCTGCAACCAACAATGAAATTAGAAGCCCTCTAACCAGTACAATGGATCCCTCTTCTCTGCCAAAGGCATTCAAAACCAAACCTGAAAACCTAGGCCAAGCCATGGTGAGAAGTTGGGTCAGGCATGCCTCCTGATACCCTCCTCCTTTGAAATTTGGGCATAACTGACCACCACTAACATCAACACAGAGATCTTAAGACTGACAAAAGAGACTCTTTGTGACAGTGAGATACCAAATGTCAAACTGACTCTAGTATCATCAGTAACAGATAAGCAACATAAAATCAAAGCATTTTGTCCAAAAATATATTTATTTGATGTATTTTGAAATGGCCCTACAAGGCTGTCTCTTGCAGGGAAAATCCACATTCTCTTTTATTTTTTGAGACGGTGTTTCGCTCTTGTTAGCCAGGCTGGAGTGCAATGGCAGGATCTCGGCTCACCGCAACCTCAACCTCCCGGGTTCAAGCAATTCTCCTGCCTCAGCCTCCCAAGTAGCTGGGACTACAGGCACGCACCACCATGCCCAGCTAACTTTTGTATTTTTAGTACAGACGGGTTTTCACCTTGTTGACCGGGATGGTCTTGATCTCTTGACCTCATGATCCACCTGCCTTGGCCTCCCAGATTGCTGAGATTATAGGCATGAGCCACCGTGCCTGGCCAAAATCTACATTCTGTTCAAAAATCACTGTTTCTTTTCAGGTCTTTTTCCTAATTCAGGAAATAATTGACTAAGAATCCGGCACAGTTTTTAGGTCTGATAAGTGCTCCGCAGCCTGCTAGCTGGAGACTTCATCTGCATGATGAAACCTTGGTCTCCACAATGCCTTATCTTTCTCATGACAAAGTCTCACTGTTTGTTTCCCGGGCTGGAGTACAGTGGTGCAATCTCAGCTCACTGCCACCTCTGCCTCCTGGGTTCAGGTGATTCTCCTGTCTCGGCCTTCCAAGTGACCACAACAGTGACCTTAACCCAGACAGTTTCTTCTATTGATTCCAGGTCTTCAAATAATAATGTTAGCAGTGGGTGTTATTTGAGTCACATGGCACCAAAGTATGTCAGTGACAGCAAATCTGTACGAGTCTGCAGTAACTTCAATTCTTGCCTCCTCAGAAAAAAGAATTTGACCAAATGACATAATATAGACTGAGATACTGCAGCCAGTTTTAGAGCAGGAGTGAACATTTATTAAAACTGGGTTGTATGCATGCTCGCTTGAGGCATTCTTCCCTTGCCAGCTGAATGTTCCTGGGAGGTCATAGACCAGTCAAATGCCACCATTTTACCTTAGTGTGCATGCTAGTGCACACTCATCCAGCTCCTGAGATCATATTGGGAAGCTGCTGGTCACCTGTTTCAGGTGTTTTCTATGTATTGGGAGACAGCCTTTCCTGGTGCTGGTTGTGATCAGTTATTATTTGAGAGGGACAGTTTAGTAAGCACCTGACAATCACCTGATGCTCGCCTGACATTCCTGATGGGGGTGGGGAGAGCCTTTCCTGCCCTGCTCAGGCCTGACTAACTACCTGATGTAACAACAACTGAACTCTTTCAACCAATTTCCAACGAGAAAATCTATGACTCTCTATGACCTGAAAGCCCACACTTTGAAGTGTGTCACCTTTCCTGGCCGAAGCAATGCTCGTCTTACATGTGTTGAGGGGTGTCTTATGTCCCCCTAACATGCATAAAGCCAATCTGTAACTCAACAACCCTGGGCACATGTTCTCAGGATCTCCTGAGGTCTGTACTGTGGGCCAGTAGACACTCATATTTGGCTCAGAATAAATCTCATACAATAGTTTACAGACTTTGATCCTTTCTATCAGCAGAGACGGTTCCACCCTTGCTATGGGATGTTAACTGAAGCTAATGGAAATAATGGTGTCTAAAAGAGTTTCCATGTTGAAACATAAATGCTTCATATAGGACCTGCTGCTACCTGGGTAATGCAAAGACAACATACAAGGAGGAGCCTCTTTTTCCTCTTCAGATTGACTCTGTAACTATGTGAGGAGCTGGTGGATTTTACGGTGACTGAAAAATAGCTCTTCACATGTGAATCGTAGTTCCAAGGTGAGCAAACATCATCATCGTCTTTGGAAGGCTGCCACTCTGGTTAAAGAAGCATTAAGGACATTTGTTTTTCTTGTGAGATATTTACAGTTTAGAGTGATTGGATATCATATTTTGTTGTGAGCAAAATGTACGTTTCTCTCTAGCTGAGCTCTCCACAATTTGGAAACTATTTCTGACTCTTCTCATTTTACGGCAATATATAGTGGTTTGCATGAGTTTAGTAAGATTGTTTTCCTTTGAAACAGGACACAGTTGTGGACACTTTACTTGCCCAAGGCTTTCACTGAAATAATGTGCTTTTAGGTAAAGTTCCAGCAGAGCCAGCCTGAGAAGAGCCTATCAATTGTTGCTGCGCTTTATGCAAATCCTCAAGTACTATGAGCCTAAAACTTATTTTGCAGATGAATTTGTCTTCCTATACGTTTTCTTCAATAGAAAAGGGGGGCTAGAGAGACAGAAAAATTATTTCACCTGTACCATACCTGTTACTAGATTCTGGCCCTGACCTTTGTTTTTATTATTTACTTATTTATTTGAGACAGAGTATTATCTCCCTCTTCCCCAGGCTGGAGTGCAGTGGTGCGATCTCAGCTCACTGCAACCTCAGCATCCTGGGTTCAAGTGATCTTCCTATTTCAGCCTCCCAAGTAGGTGGGACTCCAGGTGCGTGCCACCGTGCCCTGTTAATTTTTGTGTTTTAGTACAGATGGGGTTTTGCTCTGTTGTCCAGGCTGGTCTCAAACTCCTGGACTCAAGGGATTTGCCTGCCTCAGCCTTCCAAAGTGCTGGGATTACAGGTGAGAGCCACTGTGCTCAGCTTTGGCCTTCATTTTTACATGCAGATGGAATCATGGATTATTTCTTGACAACAAGAACTCTCTGAAAATGAAACAGGTTATAATTTTCGTCATGATGTCTTTAATTGGTACCCTAACAGTATAGGTTCTTTTTTCTGTTGTGACACACAAATTCTCTTGATTGTCAAAATTAGGAATGTTATTTATTTCTTGTTGTTTTACTTCTGAGAAAATCAGAATCATGGTATTCTGATGATCAGAGATAAGTTGACAAAGCCTATAAATCTCCCTCATTTGGCATCCCATTGGGCCAAAACTATCTGTCACTGCCAATGCCCTGCTGCTAAAACTATACAATCACCCTCACTCTAGACCCAGGGCCTATCACGGAAGAGATGGGTGCGTGAGATTGTAACAGCCGATTTTGAGAGACAATATGAGTTCAGACCCTCTAAATCAAAGATGGATATGCAGATGACTAAACACCTAGTAAAACAAGCTGCTTTCACCTCCTGGGTTATTACCCAACCCCTTTACATCCATCTAAACCATAACAAATTTCCTGTTTCCCATAGAATTGAAAGAAATGTACTGAGAGGATAAAGGTGCCTCATGACAAAGCCTCCCTGGTATAATACTCCAAAGGTATGAGATTTATGTGTGTATATATATATAATTTTTTTTCCAGCCAACTTAGGACAAATTACTAAAATGTCTGTAAAAAGCATTATGGCACAACAAAATTATCTAAATTTCTTACATAAAAGGTTTTAACCAGGCTTATATTTTATGTAGCTAACAGGTACAAGTCTGTAAATAAAACCAAGAACACAGTAGCTCAATGCATACAAGGTAAAGAGAAATTAATTTTGTTACCTCACCTTTGGCTTTTGGTTTTTGGCTTTTGTATTGCTTAAAGAATTTTAAAGGTTGATGAATGCCTGTCCACCTTCATTCCCATCTGGCTTAGGATGTTTAAACTGGCTGTAAGTCTTTGGGCTCTAAGCCCCTTTGTTATAGTTTCACCAATGCACCACAATGTAGCACTCTCTCATTGTAAGGTATCACCTGGAGTTATTTGTCTCACCCCCAAGAGAATTAAGGAGCACGGACACAAAGGGTGAGGTCGGAGTGTAAGTTTAATAAGCAAAAGAAGAAAGCTATCCACCATGCAGAGAGGGCTCAAAAGAACATTGCTGTTTCACATTTAAATGTAAAGGCTTTTATAAGAAAATTATGAGGGCTGGGCATCTTATTTGGATACAGTGCAAACTTCTGGTAGCTCCACATTCTCCTAATGTACACACAGGCCCTTAGCTTAAGTTACTCCATATTGTTTTATTCTGCTTACTGCGTGTGTGTCAAGGCACAGAGTTTTCCATTGCGGGCATGTCTGGGCAAGTCACCTGTGTGGCCTTTCTTATCTGTGCAGCTGTGGGCATGTCTTGGGCAACCACCCTGTGCAAGTTCCCTTAGCTGTGCCTGCAGGTTGTTCTTTCATTTGAAGGGATTCAACTGAGGATCCACACTAACTGCCTGCCTGACTGGTTTCTTCCTTCCTACTCTCTCACTTTGGCTAGAGGGAGTCCCATAAAGGGACAGGATGGATGGGGAGCAGGCTGTCATGCCATTCTGGCAATGCTATGGAATAAAATTAAACTTCAGTGGTCATTGATGTTGCGATTGGCAAATCTTGGCCAGACGGAGAAGAATGCCATCTGAATAGCTTAATAAAAATAATAAAATTCAACCCTCTGAATGGACCCTCTCCTCAGCCAAAGGCATTCCGAAGTAAACCTGAAAAGCTAGTTCACACGATAATTGGAAGTGGGGGTTGGACATGCATCATTAGGTTCTCCTTCCTTTGGAATTCAGGCATTCACATTACCTTCCTTTGGAATTCAGGCATGGCTGACCAGCATTCACATTAAAACAGAGACCTTCAGACTGACCAAACAGACTCTTCGTAGCCATAACCAACATGACAGATAGCAGGTCCTGAGAGAAATCCAAGTATTTTACCCCAAAATATATTTATGTGACATGTTTTTGGAATGGTCCTGCAAAGTTGTCTTTTGTGGGAAAAATCTGCATTCTATAGAGAATCTCCTTCACTTTCCAGACCTTTTCTCAGATTCAGAAGATAATTAACTAAGAGTCTGGCACCTTTGAAAATCTGATTTACAAGGTGTTCTCTACGAAGCTTTCTACCTGGGGGCTTCAGCATAACGGGAACTTTGGTCTCCACAACCCCATTTCTTAACCCACACACTCCTTTCTAGGGAGTCCAGATCTTTAGATAATAATTTCTTCAACCAGCTGCTGATCAGAAAGTCTCTGACTCTACTACAAACCTGGAGGCTCCCTACTTTGACTTGTCCTGTCTTTCTGCATCAAACCAACAGCCACAGGGAGCCCCAGTGAGGGACAGAATGGGCCTGGAACTATTAGCTATGCAAACTTGTAGCTATACAAGCCAAGCCACATAGACTTGTAGCTATTAGCTATACATAACGTAAGTTATAACACTTTATTTTTATTTGTTTATTTATTTCATTTATGTATTTTTTTTGGAGACAAGGAATTAGTCTGTCACCCAGGCTGGAGTGCAGTGGCACCATCTTGGCTCACTGTAACCTCTACCTCCTGGGCTCAAGTGATCCTCCCACTTCAGCCTCCTGAGTAGCTGGGCCCAGAGGCAAATGCCACCATACCCGGCTGGTAAGTTTATATGAACTTAAAGCATTTATATTTATTTGTTTAATTTCTGAGTCCTCATTTATGTTCATTTGATTTCATGTTACTCACACACACACACATATATGTGTATATGTATATTTATATTCATTTAAACATGCATACACACTGCACAAATAAACATTTCATGGCTTTTACCTCAGAATTCTAGCCATGAGACAGTGTCACAAACTCACTATCTTATAAAAGATAGCTGGATTTAAATATATTTCTAAATTTCTGACAAAATCAGGACCTTTTTACATGGGTAAACTTTGTTTGCCGTGATAGATAATCTAATAAAAGCTGTGACTAACCATTTTGGGTGAAGCATTTTTTATGGCAGTTGAGTTTTTAAAAACCTTATTCTCCCCCCTTCTTTATTGAAAATAAGTTTTTAATATTTACATTTTGGCTGAAACTAGCTGAACTGTATAAGAAAATAAAATTTCCAAACGAACTTGAATTAGTGGTATAATAAACATTGAGGTTTATTTTAATACTAGTGGCTTACTTATAGTAGATTTAAAGCAGACAGAAAAGAGAAAAATAGATAGAGAGCTTTAGAACAGGGGTCTCCAACCTGTGGGCCACAGACCAGTCTCTGACCTGTTAGGAACTGGGCTGCAGAGCAGGAGGTGAGCAGCAGGCCAGAGACCAAAGCTTCATCTGTATTGACAGCCACTCTCCATTGCTCAATGACTGTCTGAGCTCTGCTTCCTGTCAGACTGTGGCAGCGTTACAGGAGCATGACCCATACTGTGAACTGTGTATGTGAGGGATGTGGGTTGCCTGCTCCTCATAAGAACGTAATGCCTCATGATCAGTCACTGTCTCCCCTCACCCCCAGATGGGACCATCTAGTTACAGAAAAACAAGCTGAGCTCCCACTGATTCTACATGATGGTGTATTGTAGAATTATTTCATTCTATATTACAGTGTAGAAATAAAGTGCACAATCAATGTCATGCACTTGAATTATCCCAAACAATCCCCTCTCCCAGTCTGTGGAAAAATTGTGTTCCGTGAAAGCGGTCCCTTTGGTCAAAAACATTGAGGATGGCTGTATTAGAAGATTGTATATTTAACTCTATAGCTGCAGGTTAATCACTTGAGGTCTGAAATTTTTTTGTTTGTTGTTCTAATTTGTCCATCAATTTTAAAATATGCAAAAAAGAACAAGCTATAATTGTAATTACCTGAAGTCTCATAACTCCTGGCCTGTTTTTGAAGTTTTTTATGTTTTTAAACACATAAACCCAGGCCCCATGAAAACAGACAGACACATGAACTGGTTTTTAGATGGGATAAAAGTCCAACAACACTGCCCCCTCTCCAACAGGATACCTACCCCAGTGAAATACAAAAAATAATGTGGCTTATTCTGAGGAAAAGCCCACATGGAGGAAAAGGGAATTCCTGGCCGTATATGCTAAGGTCACTTAGTCTGCCATTGAGCCTACTGACTTCCACAAACACCACATTTCCTCAAAACAATGAAGTGTTGCAGGCATCTGATACCACAAAGGGGGAAAGGGGGAGAATCTCCAAGACAAAACCATTCTTGGCAGCTGCTGATGTCCTTGGAATCTGAGCTGTGGGGTGCGTGAGCCCTGGTGCCACCACTGCCAATTGCTCCATCTGGTGGGAGCCAGGCAAGCTAGGCCACCCAAGGCTCACAGACCCATGTTGGGTGCCAGAAACTGCAACTGAATCTAGGTTCCACTGCTCACTGCTGGAAAACAAAACCTTAGAGACAAGAGTTAGTGGAAGGAAAAGCAGGTTCATCTGTTCTAGCGCCAGAAAGACAAGAGTAACTGAAAACTGAATTTGGGTCACAGGAACAGAGTCAGAGAATAGGAGGGTAATAAGCAGTGAGACATGCCCAGGTTTGCATGTTAGTGAGAGGTAGGAACTCTGATGGCACCAGGAGCTCAAACTGACCCCTAGTTGCTAGTAGACAAAATGAGCCAAACATTTGTAAAAGTAATTTCTGGACAAATGTTGTTCATCCTATATTTTAGGGTTTAAATTTGAGAAGCTAAAAATGCAAAGTGCTGAGTTTCCTCACACAGGGCACCACTGTTGGGTCACCACCTGTGGAGTCTGTCCTGCAGACCCTGACTCAAGGATGGATGAATAAATTCACCCAGACACAGATGTTCAGCGTATGAGCAGGTTGGGGTGTCCGCACCACTCATGGAGACTCCTGAGAGAGATGGCAGCTATGGCCATGACACGCTGGCCTCGGTGGCCTTTATTCACCACACATTAAATGACAAAGGCTTTGAGTCAACACCACTAGAATGTAGAGATTAAAGGACAGGTTCCAAGGCCTAAAGCAAGCACCATTAGTGGGTAATAATATCCCTGGTCAACCCCTGCTGAGAAAAACCAACCAGAATGATCCAAGGTTAGTTTATAGGACCACATGAGTAAACAAGTTAGGTAAACTCCCCACATTCCTTTGTTTCTACTGCAATTTATTAACTAAGGGGACAAGGCTGCCTTACCCAAGAGCGATAGGAAAAACCCTCAGGCCTTCCAAAGAGTTTGTGCATATTTTCTATAGCTAAATTTCTCCCACCAGCTTGACAGAATCCCCATATTTTACCCTTTTTTGTTTTTAACATCAGGTCCTGTTGACCAAAGAGATAGAGCAGCAACATGTCTGTCAGGTGAGGCAATCACTGCTTTTATTCTGGTTTTGCATCCTGGAATTAACAAATAACAAAACAAATATGAGTACGATTAGCAACATTCTTTTCCCGTCAAAGAGTGACTCCCAGGAACGGGGCTCCAACCTGGAGAGAGGATCTTGCACACCCTTCCATACGGTTGTTTTTTGGGTGTGTAGATCTATAGTGTGAAGGGATTCTACAGTTGTAGTTTTAAGTTGCTTTACATCTGCCATTACATCCTTACATTGTCATGAAAGGATCCCCAGAGGTGTTGTTTCACCGCATCCCAACTATGTATGGATTGATTCCACGGTAGAGAAGTGACACAGATATGTTTCTGTTCCCAGTAGCAGATTAATTGCTGTCAGAATGCCCGTGTAGCTCATCGCTCTGCCACATACTCTAAAGCAGCCTTGAGGGCTTGCAGATGTGCAAGAAGTTTTTGATCTATGCCTTGCTGTAAGAGAAGTTAATGAAACACCTTTTTGGCCAGATTATCCCGAAAGGCAGCTGTTTGTACAATAGATGCCACAGCAACACTGGCAGTGTTCAGGATGACTATAGCTGAGACTATAAATACCATAAGTCTAACTGTGAATATTCTGTGTCTGACTCGGGACAGGGCACGTTCTAAGGTGGCAAGGACAGAGGAACCTTGCCAATTCCATGTCAAATTGACTGGTAGGAATGCGTCAGATTGTCTCCTTAATAACATGACACTAGTGATTTTTAAATGAGATACGTTGTGATTAGTGATACGTGAGGCAAATCAAGCCTTTCCCGGCACCCGGGTCACAGACGTGGAGTTTTGGGGCATGATGGAAATGTTAGTTCTCTTAAGGAAAACATGGATGAGGAGTGAAAATCAGGCACTGATGGGTGTGATTATGAATAAAGGTTACAGTATAGTTGCTACTGGAATTATGAGATGTCCCATGCCAGGAGTTAAGGGAGGTGCTAAGATGTCCCAGGCACCATAAGGTGCTTTGGGGTGGCATGGAATCTACTCGTGTCTGGTATATTCCATCCACCCATCAGCCCAAATTATAGGGGAACGAGATGCACTTATGAAACTGCGATTGATAAAGACATTAGTAAGGCTGCCCTGCAGCCAGCCACGGGGGCTCCAGTTTAGGCTACAGGCTTGTTTCCACTACCTTCCTTGCTTAGTTCTTTAGCACAGGAAGGAATATTTGGAAAAGAAACATTGATTGCATTGCCCAGTTTGAGGCTACCTGCAGCTAAGAATGTGAAGACATTTCCTTTGCCATAATGCAGCCATACTTGTTTTTGGGCAGGTAAACAGTAAGGGTTAGAACCTTTATAACTTGGAACACTGTGGGAAGATAGTGGAATGATACATAGTGTTATCTGGCACCTTAGTCCAATGTGTGTCATTATTGAGGGACCCCACTGGGGGTAAATCTATCCCTCCTAGCCAAGCAGTCATGTTATTATAAGCTGGGGAGGGGGTATCTGCTCAGGTGACACGGTGAAAGAAAGGTGGGTCTAAGATATGAGCCCAATAGAGTGTAGCAGGTACAGGTTGCAGACAAAGCGACAGCATAAAAAGGATTAATACCCTACATCAGTTACAGTGTACAACAGAAAGCATAGCAAGAAAGAAATTATTTGGAGTAAATGGTGTCTGTGTCCCGAGTAGGATCTGTTCAGCCTCCTGAGTTGTCTTTTTCAGCATACTCCACGTGCCATCCAGGGCTGTGTCATCCATAGAAGCTGCATCGTCTGGGGTTGTGGGTCCTGCAGAGTCATCTTCTGCATCTCTGGTATTGGGTTGGGTCCTAGCCACGCCATGGTATGATTTAATGCATCATGCTGAGGTCCAAAGAGGACCTGCATGATAGGGTGTAGACACAAGCATACCCTCTTCTCCATGTTAATAATTCACTTGGACCACACCATTCATTACTGGTCACATCTATCCATAAAACTGCAGGTTTTATGTCTTGAGAGGTTTCAGCAAAGTGATTTTCTACAGCTGATTGAAATTTGTCATCTGAATTTATAAAATTAAGGGTAAATAAGGCTTGTGCCAATAATGTTGCTGGGTCATTTCACATACTCCCCCTTTTTTGTTTTCTGAGTATATTTTTAAGGGTAAAGTGGGCCAGTTCTACTATTGCCTGACCTTGGGAGTTATATGGAATTTTGGATGTTCCGTGTGTGACAAAATTATTGAAATTGTGAGCTGGCATAAGCTGGACCATTATCAGTTTTACTTTTTGTGGGCCATTCTATAAATGCAAAAGTTAAAAGAAGACGTTTAATGACATATTGAGTTGACTTTCCAGGCAGAGCATGTACACTAATTAAATGAGTGTTGGTATCAATGGCTACATGTACACATCTAAGTCTTCCAAATTCAGGGAGGCATGTCACATGTATTTGCCATAACTGATTAGGTTCTAGTGTTCTAGGGTTAACACCTGTGGAAGGAGGGGATGTGCCTGTGAGCTGGACATTGCAGGATAATTTGTTTCGTTAGTCTCTGGGTAAGTTGAAATTGTTTAGCTAAATTTCTCCAATTTTTGGTGGAAAGATTGATGTGATTGGGTGACTTGGTCAAGCAGTGATGTCACCATGTGTAGGTCTGCTTGTTCATTGCCAGAGGCTAATGGACCAGGCAGTGAGCTGTGGACACGAATATGTGTGATAAAGACAGGATGTGTGTGTTGATCCAGCAACTTCTGAAGTCAAGGAAAAAGAGCACGCAGGGTGGGCTTGAGATTGGATTTCATTAAAGCTGTTTCGAGATTTTGTAGTAAATAAACTGAGCAAGCCTAGTCACTTACAATATTCATGGGCTGAGTGGAAAATGTTTCTAAAGCCCGGCTTAGTGCTCTAATTTCAGCTCTCTGAGTAATAGTAAATCCAGACCGAGTGAGTGAATTATGTGGTCTCCACCAGACTGTCGCTTTTCCGTGCTTACCAGAACCATCAGTAAGCAGTGTCAAAGCATTAGATATGGGGAAGTCAACTATTTTTGTAGGTAAGGTCATAGGAGTACAAGATAAGAACTGAAGGAGCTTATCAGCAGGAAGCTTATCAGCTTATCTATTTGTCCCGTGTAATCAAGAGAAGACTATTTGCAGATTGACCTTTAATGGCAATACTGCTTCGAATTGCTTTTTACTTAAAGGTCACCACTTGCTGAGTTTCCTCGCATGGGGCAACACTGTTGGGGTCACCACCTGTGGGATCTATCCTGCAGACTCTGATTCAATGATGAATGAATAAATTCACTCAGACACAGATGTTCAGCATATGAGCAGGTTGGGGTGTCCGGGCCACTCACAGATCAGGGTCATAACCTAGCAACTGACGGCATCATTTGCAGCCTGAATAATTACTTTCCTAATTAATTGAATATAGGGGGACAGACTTTTAGTCCCAGTATGAGAGCAAAAAATCCATCCTAAAAAAGCCTAGTAGTCCGGGGGACATCTGTCCTATTAACCCCGTAGGGGAGTGTTGGGTGGGAAAGACAAACAGCTGAATGGAATAGAGTGGATCTATGTGATCTAGCTGCCTGTGAGAAATGGCTTGCTCTATTTCCTCAATGTCTCTTTTTCCTGCAGGGATTAAATATCTGGGAGAATCCATGGCTGGATTGCCCTTTAAGATAGAAAACCAGTTTTGGAGTTTATCAGTAGGAATTCTCAAAGTGGGACATGGCCAATAAACGTCTCCCAATAATTTTGATAATTATTTAAGGTGTGCAAGTTGCTAGTATTTAATTTAACCTTTTTTGGTCTCACTGACTGGGAAGTTAGTATGTACCCAAGATATTTCCAAGGAGAAGACATCTGTACTTTTTGAGATGGCTATGAGTAAACCTCTTCACTGTGTATCCTTTATGACAGAGTTCTATAAATCTAAAAGTACTGGCTTCGCTGGGGTTACCAGTAAAATATCATTCATAAAATGAATAACCTTGCAATTAGAAAATTCTTTTCTACTAGGGAGCAAAACTTGATCTACACAATAGTGACAGGTAGTAGGACTGCTACGCATTCCTTGAGGCAGCACTTTCCAATGAAACCAACAAGCTGGTTTTCATTATTAATAGCTGGTATTATAAACGCAATTTTTTTCTCTGTCCTGTTCTGCTAGAGGAATAGTATAAAAAGTCTTTTAAGTCAATAACAATTATAGGCCAATCTTGAGGAACTGCCATGGGGGAGGGGAGTCTCTACTGAAGAGGTCCTATAGGCTGCAAGTGAGCCTCAACTAGTTCATGGGCTATCTGTAATGTCTCTCCTGTCTCTCCTTTTAAAGGTTACTGTCTTACTTAAATAGAATTCTGAGACAGCTACATCAGTTGGAATAACAACAATGGCCATTATTAAAAGAAGGTCTTACAAATTCTTAAATTTTACTTAAAGCTTAGCAGAAAACTATAATCTGGTAAATTGCTTGGGTTGCCCACTAAGCCACAGGGCAGTGGCTCAGGTTTTGGAACAGTGGCCACTTTTTGCTTGTGTTGCTCCCTTTTTGCTTGTGCTGCTAGCTGGGCAGACCTTCGTGTGTGCACCTCCCACCACTCCCTAGCAGGCTAGCTCTGGTGCACTGGGCCTGGCTCCCTATCGCCACTGCTGCTGCACAGGCCGAGTTCCCTGTAGCATTTGCTGGCTCCAGATTTGTGAGCTTTCTTGCTGTTGAGCCTTTCCTTCTGCTCATTGCTCACTTGGCTGTGCAGTTTTGGCCTCTAATGCTTTTTCTTATCTTTTTATGTACCTGATTTCCTTGTTGATCTTGTATTACTGGGCAGGCTAAGGGCTCCCCTTCTAATGCCTCTTGCCTAGCTATTGGAGGAGGGGGCTCAGGCAAAACCTCCATTTCCTCTTTGTTATTTTGGCCTGGTGATAGCAAGGCTGAGGGAAAAGCAGGCAATAAGGCAGGTGGCGTTTCCACCTCTTTCCCTTTTTAGGCTCTTCTGTGTATAATGGGACTAAAACTGTCCTTACTAAAGCCCA